TGACTTTGGTAGATTTGTTGAAGATTAGACTCAGATTGACGTGGTTCTCGTTCTTTGATCTTTAATTTGGTGGATTTGTTGAAGACGAGGGTCAAATTGATGTGAATCTTGTTCTTCGATTTTTGACTTGATTTTGTTGAATCTTCTCATCGTTCTTGTGTTGAATGACTTAAAAATGATTTGGGTCTCTTGAAGAAGGACCTTGACGGTGTTTTTTCTCTTTAGAGATAGATTTGAAAGATCTCAGTTGTGGGTAGAACNACTTGATTTTGTTGAATCTTCTCATCGTTCTTGTGTTGAATGACTTAAAAATGATTTGGGTCTCTTGAAGAAGGACCTTAACGGTGTTTTTTCTCTTTAGAGATAGATTTGAAAGACCTCATTTGTGGGTAGAACCCAGCAGAGCTTCGCTATTGATCTTCCCTTCTTCTCCTGAGGTGGGACTTGGCAGAGCTTTCTTAATCTTCCTTCCTCTTTGGCTTCTCTTGCTCTTCCTTCTTACCTCCTTTTTTTGGCTTACCCTCTTGGCCTCCCCCAGACCTCTATTTATAATGGTAGGAGTAGTTATCTATATAAGGGTGGCAGTTATCCATATAAGGGTACTTTTACCTTATTACCCTTATATGGGCTTTAGGTAGTGGACTATCCATAAATTTATTGGCTTTAATTAATTTATTGAATTTAAGTCCAACCCATTTTAATTTTTAAAAGTTTATTTAATTTGGGCCTATGGAATTTAAGTCCATTTTAATTTAATTTAACAAGCANGGTAGGAGTAGTTATCTATATAAGGGTGGCAGTTATCCATATAAGGGTACTTTTACCTTATTACCCTTATATGGGCTTTAGGTAGTGGACTATCCATAAATTTGTTGGCTTTAATTAATTTATTGAATTTAAGTCCAACCCATTTTAATTTTTAAAATTTTATTTAATTTGGGCCTATGGAATTTAAGTCCATTTTAATTTAATTTAACAAGCCTGATTAATTACATTTGGGCTTGTGTTATTTAGGTTATGAAATTTAGGTCTAGTTTAATTTAATTTGACAAGCCTTGTTAATTAAATTTGTGCTTTTATTATTTGGGTTATGGAATTTAGGTTCAACCTAATATAATTTATCTAATTGATTTGATCTCAATTGTAGACATTAATTTGTTAAATTTTAATGTCTACATTTCATTCACAGGCTTTCATCTCTTGTGCTTGAGTGCTTTCTTCTTCATTCGTAAAGTTCCTACTTTGGTCTTCTAAACCCCCTTCTTTAGTTTTTTCCATGGCACAAATATCTGCTTCTGACTACGACACCCAAACGGAGATTTTCCTTGTTGTCGATGTTAGTGAGATTGACGAGGTAGGGGCATAGGCTTTGTCTAGCTGCTATGGTTTTCCCAGTAGGATAACAATTCATGCTACATGCAATGACGCTTATCACCAGTCCTTGGCTAGTTAGGTCTACTTTTTCGATCACTTCCAGCTGAGCCTTAGGTTTTCCCTTTCTTCCTTCGTGAGGGAGGTTTTACATTTCTTTTGCTTTTGTCCAGCCATGATATTAACGGCTGGCTAGGCTGTTCTTTTTACGTTCCCGGTCATATGGGAGTGTCTATTGGTGCGGCCGCATGCAAATTTGTCAGAGTTTCTTAACCTTTTTCATCTTGTGGAGCTGTCTGGGTTCTATTGTTTTGTGGCAAGAAGAGGTGGAGAAACTCCTATTTTTGATCTTCCTCCCAAGCCTAAAGGTTAGTGGTGAAGGTACTTCTTTGTGTTTAGAACAGACAAGGAGTTCGTGCCCCATTTGATCTTGTTAATTTGGGTTCCCACTATCTGGGGGTGACGTGCTCATCTTGGTGAGTTTCCCCGCTTTAGTGAGTTTTCCTTTATCGAGCTGCCCTTCTTGTGCTTCTAGGGCTCTGAATTTGTTTCACCCTTTTTTTTTTGGTAGGTGAATACCTGAGCTTTAGTGGAGACGCGCAATCTAGGGTGGATCAAGTTCGGGCTCGACTACTCTTCTTCTATGCTGNGAGCTGCCCTTCTTGTGCTTCTAGGGCTCTGAATTTGTTTCACCCTTTTTTTTTTGGGTAGGTGAATACCTGAGCTTTAGTGGAGACGCGCAATCTAGGGTGGATCAAGTTCGGGCTCGACTACTCTTCTTCTATGCTAAGCTAATAAGGCTTGACCCGTCTGATGTCCCGATCCATAGGTGTTGAGTATCTTGTCATGGTTCGACTATCTTGTTTTTGATAAACTTTCCTAATTTGTTCCTTTGATTTTCTTGTATCTTTAGTTCCTATTTACCTAGTCAGCGAGAGGGATGTGATCATGGAAGAGGGTGAGGGTCGTCGAGGATAGTCCTGCGTTGAGTTCTCCTATTACACCTCCAATCCCACCGACTATCGGGGGAATCAAGACTAGAGTTGTGTCAATTAATCTCGAGGTAGGACTAGTTCACCGCGGGTCCCTTCTTGGGCCTGTGGAAGGCTTTAACTCAAGGCATTTTGAGCCGATTATAGTCACTGGCTCTGGGGTGAGTCTCTTGGATGACATGGCCAGAGGTGGCTGAGCTTTCATGGAGCTGATCCCATAGGTTGACCTCCGTCGCTTTGTTAATCAACCTTTTAGGGCGAGGTCCTAAGACTCTTTGCACACTCTTCTTGAGGTGAGATTTGTCGTTTTTGCCTCCTTTGGCCTTAATTGCGTAAACATACCCACTTAATCTTTGATTTCAGGTTATGACGCATGTTTGTACGTTCGGCAGGGAGATCCATCATCTGAAGGTGGAGGCTAACAAGAAGGAGGGAAGGCTTGCTGAGCTGCAACACTAGGGTTTAGGACTAGAGGCTGAGCTAGAGGTGGCTCTCGAGAGGTGAGTTCAGGTCTTCTGATAGTTGATCACTGCCGCTACTTCAGAGATCTCTTTGCAAGACCAACTGAGTCAGCAATTGAATGATCTGGTCAACTCCCAAGCTGATAACATGGTGCTTACTACCTAGTTGGCTGAATCTCCTGTAGTTATCATTGACTTGGAGGATTCCCTAAGCTCGGAGCGACAGTTACTCAAAAAGCAGAGAAAGGAGATCGAGAGGACGAAGATGGAGGCTGCCAAACCCTTTGTGGATGGATTTTTTCAACTTTGAAGATNTAAGCTCGGAGCGACAGTTACTCAAAAAGCAGAGAAAGGAGATCGAGAGGACGAAGAGGGAGGCTGCCAAACCCTTTGTGGATGGATTTTTTCAACTTTGAAGATAAATCCCTCGAGAAGTTCCCTCACCTTGGCCTTGGCCAGTTTGAGTCTCGATTTTTCTCTCCTCCTGGAGGCTCATCTGGAGGTGGTGATGCTGCTTTGTCCTCTTTTAAGCCTTGAGGATCTCTGTTCCTTTTCCCCCTTTCTTCTTGCACTAGTTACACATAAGTTTATTTTTGAAATTTAATGTGTAAGCTTTTTCCTATTGTTGGAATGACAACCATTTAAGCTTTCTTGTGGATGTTGTTGGATGTTTCATATCCCCCTTTGTTCCCTTACTTCAAAGAGGTCTCGACTTGGCTGGAGTATGATCTTTGGTAATCTTGTCAAATTTGTGAGGTTCTAAACTTTGTTTTATCGCTTTGGGGTATATCGATTGGCCTAGCTACTCACGTGTACTTTCCTCCTTTGCCCCCCCATTCTCGGGTTGTACTGTCTCGAGGTGTACTATCTCGAGATATACCGCTCTAAGGTGGTACCGTCTTGAGTTGTATGGTTCCCTGGCTTCTTAGGTATGCCTTTGTCATTCACCCCTGTTCTTGAGTTGTATTGCATCGGGATGTATTGTCTCAATTTGTACTACCTCGGGCTGTATTATTTCAAGCTGTAAAATGGTTGGTCTAAGGCATACAAATCTTGGAGAAAAACTATTAAATGCATCGATCTTTGCGCCTACCTAACTCTACAGCCCTTGATCATCCTTCATTAACTTTTGTCATAAAAATTTTTTCATTGAAGNATTTCAAGCTGTAAAATGGTTGGTCTAAGGCATACAAATCTTGGAGAAAAACTATTAAATGCATCGATCTTTGCACCTACCTAACTCTACAGCCCTTGATCATCCTTCATTAACTTTTGTCATAAAAATTTTTTCATTGAAAAAGCCTAACAGTCTCCCTTTTGTCTCCATAAGTTGCCTACTTTGCTGTTCAAAAATCTTCAACCCTTTGTATACTTATCCCTCTTTGGTGTTTCCCTTGAGTGGTACTCATTTTGTAGCTTCATGGCTTCCTCTTCTACTTCTCTATTTAGGCAGCGTGCTCGTATTCTCATTGATGATCTAGTGTATGCAATTTTACTATTCCCTAGTGTTGTTACATTGCCTGATGTGGAGGAAGTCAGGAAACGATATTTTCCTACAGATGTGACCATTCAGATNACTATTCCCTAGTGTTGTTACATTGCCTGATGTGGAGGAAGTCAGGAAACGATATTTCCCTACAGGTGTGACCATTCAGAGTCTCTCCCCTGACGAGCCTTGCAACCTTCTCTTTCAGATGGAGGTTTATTTTTTTGAAGGTGCATTTGAGTTGGGGCTTCTTTTGCCCATTAATTTGTCTGTAGGGCAGATTCTAGCCTTCTTTAGGCTCTGCCCTTCACATCTTTCGCCAGAGGGGTAGGGCACATTTGTGAGTTTTTTTTTATTTTCTAGCGCATGCATGACCATGACCGCTTCCCTTTTGTTTCTGAGTTCCTTTACTTTTTTCGATTTAACAATGACTTCCCTTGTTACTACTGGTTCACATGGAGGTTTCAAGTCCCTATGCTAGTTCTCAACACTCTTGGCTCCCCTGAGGGGTGGTCGCATCATTTTTTCTTCATGTTTGGGAACTCTTGGGAATCTGGTGAAGCATTCTCAGACCGTTCTTGAGTTCCTCGCTCTTGGGGACACATTCTGGACAGAGGTAAGGAAATGGTTTTGTCTTCCAGAGTTAATAAGGCATCCTATTTGAGACTAACAATTTTCAAGTTGATGCAGATGGTCCTGGGCTGACAGTAGACGAGATCACGAGGGTCTGTTGGCTTAGCCGAGCTGAAATGGTTTCCTTTTCCACCTTGGTCAAGGCTCAGAAACTTTTTAGGTTTGGTCATGGCCCCGAGCCGACTGTCATCCCTACTGCTGCTAGTGGTGGTGGTGACATAATTGTGGTGGCGGCGACTCAATAGTGGTGACAGTGGTGGTGGCATAATGGTAGTGATAGTGACGGTGGCAACGATGGTGAAGATGATGGTGGTGGTGGTTGCAAAATGGTAATAGTGGTAGTGGTAGTGTTTGTGGTGGTGGCGATGACACAATGCTAGTGATGGTGGCAGCATAATGGTGGTAGTTGTGGTGGTGGCGGCGACAATACAATAATGGTGGTTGTGGTGAATGGTGGGTGTTGAAAAGTTAAAAGTGTAAGATGCATTGAGGGTATATTTGTTGATTATGAGNGTTGTGGTGAATGGTGGGTGTTGAAAAGTTAAAAGTGTAAGATGCATTGAGGGTATAATTGTCGATTATGATGAATTGATAAAATCATTACTGACTAACGTTTTCAACATTAAGTGATAAGTAAGTAGCTTACTACTTAACATTTTCTTCTATTTTTAAAAAGTGCTTAAAAAATTAAGTAGTATGAGTTTTAAGTTATCAAACGAGTTTAATTTATTAAGTATTTCAAATATTCAGTTTTAAACTTTAAGTAGCGTTATCAAATAGTCCCTTTAAGTNAAGTAAGTAGCTTACTACTTAACATTTTCTTCTATTTTTAAAAAGTGCTTAAAAAATTAAGTAGTATGAGTTTTAAGTTATCAAACGAGTTTAATTTATTAAGTATTTCAAATATTCAGTTTTAAACTTTAAGTAGTGTTATCAAATAGTCCCTTTAAGTGATGTTTAATAAAATTGAAAGCTGAATACTGAAAATTGAATGTGAATTTTAAGTTTTGAATGGTGAATTTTTAATTCGCAGACTATTTGACACCTGTTGAAATTTAAGTATTGAATTGAACCAAATTATTTAATAACTGTATNCGTTATCAAATAGTCCCTTTAAGTGATGTTTAATAAAATTGAAAGCTGAATACTGAAAATTGAATGTGAATTTTAAGTTATGAATGGTGAATTTTTAATTCGCAGACTATTTGGCATCTGTTGAAATTTAAGTATTGAATTGAACCAAATTATTTAATAACTGTATTGAGCTGATGTTTGAAAATAAATTAGTTTTTAATTTTATCTTTCTACTCTTTATTTTGAAAATATTATCTAATAAAAAATCACGATATATCATTACAAGAAATTCATAACATAAATTATTATCACTATTATCATATTGTAGTTTACATACCTACCTAACTATTTGTTGCAGAATATTAGACAAGGTTAGATGTATATAATGTTGTTGAACACAGTCAAACTATTATTNTAATTTTATCTTTCTACTCTTTATTTTGAAAATATTATCTAATAAAAAATCACGATATATCATTACAAGAAATTCATAACATAAATTATTATCACTATTATCATATTGTAGTTTACATACCTACCTAACTATTTGTTGCAGAATATCAGACAAGGTTAAATGTACATAATGGTGTTGAACACAGTCAAACTATTATTGTGACCCACTAGAATAGTTAATATAATATAAAGAAATTGATGATTAAAAATATTGAAGAACATAATACAATTAACCTTCAAACGTAGCAGCTCATTGACATTCTCAACAAAATAAGTAACTTGAATAAATAAATAAATAAATAATCCAATATAAAGAAAGAATTGAACTAGAAAAAGAATTAAACAATAGCAAATTCAACAAACAAGCTTAAAATAATTGAACAAATTTGATAAAAAAAATTTAAAGAATAAACCGTTAACCAAAAATAAAGCAAGAATATAATAATAACAAATTGAATAAAAGAATAATCGAACAATTACAAATAGAAAAAAATATAAAAAAATTAAATAAATTAAGAATAAAATAACAACGAATTGAAAAAATATTTATAGTTGTTCTAATTTAATATTTGTGTGTGTGTGTGTGCAGTGTGCAGTATGTGTGTGAGTGTTTGCATGTTAATCAGTGTGTGAGCAGGAGAAGATACTTGATAAAAAAAATAAATAAGGAAAAGATAGAAGGAAGAAAAGAGAAAAGACTATTCCTGTTTAACCTCTTTGATAGACAGTGGAGGCTAAAGAGATTGAGGATTTTGGGTTCTGAAGAAATGATAACTTTAAAGTTTTAATAGGATCGTAAAATATTTCAGAATAAAATTATCATATTGACAAAATTATAAAAGACACTTTTCTTGAGCATTTTTAGCTTTCAAAATTAAGGGATCTTCTACTTAATATTTTAACATATTTTTAAGGAGCACTTAACATATTAAGAGATCTTAATTTTAATTATCAAACAAACTTAACAAATTAGGAGTACTTCTCTTTCTTCTTCTTGTTGCATCACCAATTGTATGTGGTCTTTATTTTCATGGTCAATTTGATGTGTATGACTTGCAGATAATTGTACACATTCCAGGATTATGTAACACCCACAAGTTTAAGGAACAATAAATTGAAACCACTCTCAGTCAAATAAAAAAAAAAAAAAACAATGTTGTTGTGACATAATTTGGGGCGTAAAGACATAGGTTTTAGCATTCAATGCAATCACTATTAATTCAACAGCATTATTAGATTTCCAAATTAAACCTCCAACATATATATATGTAGTATTACTATGATAAAATATTGAAAGAACAAACCATGCGAAAAATGAGAATTGCTACATAGATTTAAAAAATAGACTTAATAATTATAGCCATTGATTTCACTATAGNATAAAATATTGAAAGAACAAACCATGCGAAAAATGAGAATTGCTACATAGATTTAAAAAATAGATTTAATAATTATAGCCATTAATTTCACTATGAATTCTAGAATTTATTGTGACTCATTACCTATTTAATAGTTGTGATTATCAAATCTATTTTTTAAAGAGTTGTCATGTCATTTGAGCTCCAAATTTGGTTCCAGAATTTGATCAGTTTAACATTACTGTTTTTTAAGTTCATGTAACATTACTTCGAAAAAAATGCTCCTAAGAGGCTTGATGAAAATCATTGCAAACAAACCAAATTGAAATTCAAANTAAAGAGTTGTCATGTCATTTGAGCTCCAAATTTGGTTCCAGAATTTGATCAGTTTAGCATTACTGTTTTTTAAGTTAATGTAACATTACTTCGAAAAAAAATGCTCCTAAGGGGCTTGATGAAAATCATTGCAAACAAACCAAATTGAAATTCAAAGCACCCTAAACCTCTGAAATAGAAAATTAACAGAAAATGAAAAACATAAAGGAAAAAATTGTTCTCACTAATTCAACCCCCTCTCACTTTCTGGTTCTTTTCCAGCTGCAGATTTCAAAGCTATTTCCTTCTCATTTGCCATCATCTCAGCCCTAAACCTCTGATAAATATCGGTTCTATAATACTTTCTGGTTCTTATTACTAGAATCAGTGAAACAAGAGCTCCAAATAAATTAGTCCCAGCAAGTATAAGAAAAGACAGCCTATAACACTGCTTCCCAATGCATGTAAGTTCACGCACCATTGATCTATTCATTCCATTAACTGCAAGTTGCTTCAGCGCCTCTCTATCATAAAGTTTCCCAACAATCCTCACATTGAGTATATATGATCCAAGGGGGCTTGCAAGTTGGCCACAGTTGAAGAGAGTTGAGTAATATTTCAATCCAAAAAGCTCAGAGATAATTACAAAAAGAAGGGTCAACTGGGCACCATAGGAGAACCCAATGAGCAAGGAGGCCACATAAACGGAGCCGGGGACCGGAAATGCGATGAGGAGGTCACCAACACTTGGTAACAACAAGAAAAATGTCATCATAAGAGTTCTTGGTATTTTCCATTTCAAGACGATGATTTCAGAGAGAAAACCTGCAAAAACTCTTCCAAAATAGTTGAAAATGCTGACCAGAGACACAAAAGTTCCAATGGTATGAGTTGGGTAGCCTAAAGATTCACCAATTTGGCCCAAATTATCCACTGCTGTTAAACTACAACCCAATCCACAAAATGTAGCCACAAAGAGAATGAGCATGTCAATGCTTAAAAGAGCTTGTAAAATGGTGTAATCTTCACCTCTTTTTGGCTTCTTACAGATGTTTCCAAAGCATGAATCTTCTCTTGGCTTCTCTATTATCTGATTTGTCGAACATTCGACCGATTCTTCAGGTTTTGGCTCTGATAATCGTGGTTCCTCAACAATAATCCTAGATGGGACACTAAGTACTTTTTGTTTTTTCTCCTTCCAAGTGGTTAATTCTTCTCTGAATGCTATCAGGCATGGAAGGAAAAGCAAGACACAAGCAGCAGTGGCACTTCCAACATAGGCATTGTGAGAGAAAGTGACATATTTTTGGGCAATGGTTAAGGCCATCAGGCAAAAAGCCAAAACAATTGATATGAAAAGATATTGATAAAAGACCTTAACCTCATTGGGATGGCTAGAAACTTTCATGGGTCTAATGTTAAACACAAAAAGTATAGAGATCACAGCCGGAAGCCATCCAATAAGAAGGATCAAAGACTTAGAATCATTCCCATAAATTGCAAGATAGAGTTGTGTAAACAACGCCCCACTTAGCCCTATAAAACCCTTCATTAAACCTAGCATCATACCTCGACTTTCCGGGAAGTTTTTCACGCAGGTCACAAGAGAGCCAGTGTTGGCAAAGTTCTGCGAATTTGCACCAACACATATGTAAATACACATCTGCAAAACTTGGGGTTTGGGGATCTTTTTTGTGACAGCAAGCCATATTGCAAAGTACCCTCCAAAGTTGAGGACAGAACCGACTAAAAGCACGAACCACGTTGGAGTTACCTCGGCTAGGAGGCCAGAGAGAACTCCGACATTGGCGCCGAGGTCCTTGCAGGTTCCTAGGAGGTTGAGTGTGGTTTGATCATAGCCGAGAGTGGCCTTTATATCTTTGGAATAGACACCAAAAAGATAGGTACAACCAGCACAGGCCATGATCAAGAAAGAGGCAAACATCATGAACCACCGGCCCACGAGAACTTGCCCCACAAAGCTGCATAGGCCACAGCCGGAGCTTTGACCGGAACTCGAAATCGCCATTGTTGAACCACCCTTCTTTTCTTGTTGGCTCTATGCAGTGATGGTGCAGTTACTCTGCAGGGAAGAGTTTACGGTTAATAGGCTGAAGTTGGGTTTGGAAAAGATAGACTGACAACCTGTTTTTTGGATTGAGACTAAATCTAACAGATTTATTGTGGGATTTGAAGTTATTTTGGATTGAGGATAAAACTAACAGATTGAGTTCTGTTGAGATAAGACTGCTAGTGTTACAGATGGATTAGGTTAATTTTCTATGGAGTTTTTGGCAAAAAATAACTCTATTTTGAATAGTTAATTCCAATGTAATCCTTTCCGGAAAATGTTTCCCATGTTTTTCTCATACGTCGGCAGTTAACCAGAAAACAAATTGACACATTAAATAAGTCAGTATAAAAATAAATATTTTGACATAATTTAGGGACCTATAATTAGTCATTGTCAATTTTTTTTTTTGAAATTAAACAATGGGATAATTTCATTAAAATGACAATATTACATCTATATCTATATCTATATCAATATCTATATCTATATCTATCTATTTTTACAATTTATAAATGTCAATGATACCCACATATTTCTTTCATCCTATTTTTATTTTCTATGCCTATTTAACTTTTAACTTACTTTGAACTCTTTTATTAATAGTATACTTGCATACAATTTTTTATATCTATATCTATATTTATATGAATAAATAAAATCTAATCTATATTTTATTATATATATGTCGTTGTCAAATTGAATTCTACGTTTCAATATATGTTACATTTGATTTTTTAGTATACAATAATATCATATTATTATAATAAAAACAATAGCATTGTAACTTAATCAATCTCTTTGACTAAAAATATAATAAATTAATAATATAATTAGATATGCAAATATTACAATATGACAAATTAGAGATACAAGGAGGGATAAAGTAGATTAATAATTAGATTTAGAATTAAATAAAATAAATTAATCATTCGACATAATTTATTATTCAATTTAATTACATACATAATTTAAATTTCTTAGAAAGAGATTATTATTTAAATATGTTCACGTGTGCGTTGCTAGTCAATATATATTTGATTTCCTATTTTATCCTTCGTTACTATTATAAAGTTAATTATACCCATATACTTATTTTCATTCATATTTCTTCTAGACTCTTTTATTTGTAGTATTTGACTTCTAAATTATTTTGGATTCCTTTATTACTTGTACACTTATCTATAATTTTCTATATCTCTTTTAGATTCTTTTATTAAATAGCATTTTTTTTTTGAAAAGAAACAGTAGAATTTATATTAAGAAGATAAGTCCAAACGAAGATGTAGCACAAGAAAATCAGGTGTTATTTCTTCCCATACATCAACGTTCTCACAGTGGTTAGCATTCCTAGCAAGCTGATGCGCTACTGAATTTCCTAAACACCTAACAATAGACACCGAAAAATAAATTAACAGATAAAGAATACACTTAACATCAACACCAATGGAGCCTAGAGAAGAGAACTCATCTGCAGTCATCTTCTAACTCAATTTCATCACACACAATCTGTCTAGCAAATAAAACAGCTTCCCTTGCAAAAAAATTCTCTGCCGATTGTGCATCACACTAGGCAATTAACTTCTTTGACATTCCANAAAATGACAATATTACATCTATATCTATATCTATATCAATATCTATATCTATATCTATCTATTTTTACAATTTATAAATGTCAATGATACCCACATATTTCTTTCATCCTATTTTTATTTTCTATGCCTATTTAACTTTTAACTTACTTTGAACTCTTTTATTAATAGTATACTTGCATACAATTTTTTATATCTATATCTATATTTATATGAATAAATAAAATCTAATCTATATTTTATTATATATATGTCGTTGTCAAATTGAATTCTACGTTTCAATATATGTTACATTTGATTTTTTAGTATACAATAATATCATATTATTATAATAAAAACAATAGCATTGTAACTTAATCAATCTCTTTGACTAAAAATATAATAAATTAATAATATAATTAGATATGCAAATATTACAATATGACAAATTAGAGATACAAGGAGGGATAAAGTAGATTAATAATTAGATTTAGAATTAAATAAAATAAATTAATCATTCGACATAATTTATTATTCAATTTAATTACATACATAATTTAAATTTCTTAGAAAGAGATTATTATTTAAATATGTTCACGTGTGCGTTGCTAGTCAATATATATTTGATTTCCTATTTTATCCTTCGTTACTATTATAAAGTTAATTATACCCATATATTTATTTTCATTCATATTTCTTCTAGACTCTTTTATTTGTAGTATTTGACTTCTAAATTATTTGGATTCCTTTATTACTTGTACGCTTATCTATAATTTTCTATATCTCTTTTAGACTCTTTTATTAAATAGCATTTTTTTTTTTTGAAAAGAAACAGTAGAATTTATATTAAGAAGACNTAGTTAATTCCAATGTAATCCTTTCCGGAAAATGTTTCCCATGTTTTTCTCATACGTTGGCAGTTAACCAGAAAACAAATTGACACATTAAATAAGTCAGAATAAAAATAAATATTTTGACATAATTTAGGGACCTATAATTAGTCATTGTGAATTTTTTTTTTGAAATTAAACAATGGGATAATTTCATTAAAATGACAATATTACATCTATATCTATATCTATATCTATCTATTTTTACAATTTATAAATGTCAATGATACCCACATATTTCTTTCATCCTATTTTGATTTTCTATGCCTATTTAACTTTTAACTTACTTTGAACTCTTTTATTAATAGTATACTTGCATACAATTTTTTATATCTATATCTATATTTATATGAATAAATAAAATCTAATCTATATTTTATTATATATATGTCGTTGTCAAATTGAATTCTACGTTTCAATATATGTTACATTTGATTTTTTAGTATACAATAATATCATATTATTATAATAAAAACAATAGCATTGTAACTTAATCAATCTCTTTGACTAAAAATATAATAAATTAATAATATAATTAGATATGCAAATATTACAATATGACAAATTAGAGATACAAGGAGGGATAAAGTAGATTAATAATTAGATTTAGAATTAANAACACACATTATCCCCTCGAATTTTCCTGCGCCACAAATTGTCATTCGTAGGAAGAGCGTTCATTGACATCCTCAATGCAAAATTTTTTACTTTATTGGGAACCCTTTGACTCCAAACAGCCTTCCAATTACACCCCGAATTTGAAGATGAGCTTGCACTAGGAGTATCTGTTGTGATGACTTGTATTCAAGTCAATTGTTTTTTTTATTTGGACTCTAATTGAAGACATGAGTTTTCATTGGAGTCATTGATAGACAAGTTTGACCTTAATTAGGATTATCTTGATTTTATTATTTTAGTGGAGTTTAGTCTAATATGGACTTTTGTTGTTTAAACTCAAAGACTTCAAGGAGTCTTTGATTTTTTGTCCAACACGTGAGACCTCCTCAGCATGAAGACTTTGTGAAAAAAATCAAATTCCTTAGTCCAGAAGCTTGATAAAAACGACATCTTCTCCAGTGAGTTGAGGGTCAGTCATCGACGACGGTACAAGAGTTCTCTTTGTGTGTGATAAATTGATATTGCTCTATTTTGTTAAATCCAAAAAATATTTTATTATTAGAATAGATCAAATATTTAGTTTTCACGTTGATTTGTTCTGAGAACATTGTAATCTCCAACCTTTCAATAGTGAAATTTTGTCGTTGTGTTTCGTTCGTGGATGTAGATTTGCTTGTTGAGCCGAACCACGTAAATCTTTGTGTTCTATTTTTCTATTTCGTTGCGTTATTATTTTGCTTGTGGTTTTGTTCATAACAAACTAGTATCAGAGCTATTGGTTTCAGGATGGCTATAGNCCAACACGTGAGACCTCCTCAGCATGAAGACTTTGTGAAAAAAATCAAATTCCTTAGTCCAGAAGCTTGATAAAAAGGACATCTTCTCCAGTGAGTTGAGGGTCAGTCATCGACGACAGTACAAGAGTTCTCTTTGTGTGTGATAAATTGATATTGCTCTATTTTGTTAAATCCAATAAATATTTTATTATTAAAATAGAGCAGATATTTAGTTTTCACGTTGATTTGTTCTGAAAACATTGTAATCTCCAACCTTTCAATAGTGAAATTTTGTCGTTGTGTTTCGTTCGTGGATGTAGATTTGCTTGTTGAGCCAAATCACGTAAATCTTTGTGTTCTATTTTTCTATTTCGTTGCGTTATTATTTTGCTTGTGGTTTTGTTCATAACAAACTGGTATCAGAGCTATTGGTTTCAGGATGGCTACAACAAAATTCGAGATAGAAAAATTTGATGGTCAGAAAAATTTTAGTTTATGACAGATTAAGATGAAAGCATTGTTTCGTTAGCAGGGTTTGGCAAAGGCCATTGATGGAACTTTATCCAAGGAGATAGATCAAACTAAAGTTACTGATATTGAAGAAAAAACACACAGTGCAATTCAGTTGTCTCTTGCTGATGAAGTTCTTTGTGAGGTTATCAATAAAGACAAATTTGAAGGGTTATGGAAAAAGTTGAAGGGTTATATATGAAGAAATCTTTCGCCAACCGTTTGTATCTGAAGCAACAATTATACACACTCAAGATGAAAGAAGGTACGCCCGTTAATGAACATCTTAATGAATTTAACAAAATTATTATTGACTTAAAAAATATTGATATTAAAATTGGGGATGAAGATCAAACCCTAATTGTGTTATGCTCGTTGCCTAATTCGTTTGATAATTTTGTTAATTCGATGTTGTATGGGAGAGACTTAATCTCTTTAATTGATGTGAAATCCTCTTTGAATTCTAAGGAGTTGCGTACTAAATTGAACAGTAAGGGCAGTGATACTCAAGCTGAGGGTTTATTTGTGAAGGGTCGTCATGATAATTTCTCTAATAATAATAGAGGTCGATCCGTTGAAAGAAATTCAAA